TGTATGTGCTAAACTAATTAAAACTGCACAATTTTTTCCATAAATGTTACAGAAGTATTTTTCTGCAAACAATTAAAGTAACTGAGGTCAGTAATACCTAAAGAAAAGCAATTAACTTGAATAGAGTTATAATGTTAACAGTGTGTAACGTCCGAAACATCAGTGGTGTGACATTGAAAATTATTAGGCAATGCACTGGTTCCCAAGTTTTTCGCAAGTATTTACCTTATATCATCAGTAGTTATAATAAAATAAGTTTGACCTAAGAAAAAAACATTTTACCTATTGAATTAAAAACTTGTTATTGTCAAAACCCTAATTTAGAGCTATTTTTCACTTTCAAGGGATACCTAATCTGTATTTTTCAAGATAGAAACTCAAAAATTTGCATGAATAATCTCTGAAACATATTCTTAAAGACCCAACATATTTAAAGGTGTAGTTAATAGCAAATGAGTTTTATATCACAGTTATAAGTTATGCTATAGTTCACAATAAAATTGTAAAAACTCAAAGTATTCATATCTGGTGAATAAATAAGGAGATAGATTAAGGTCCAGAATTTGCATTTCTCAAAAATATGATTAGTCCTGTTCCTAAAAATTTAAGTTTGAAATGAGTAAACATAATTTCATTTTGGACCCATTTGTGGACACATTTGGTATAAGTTAAAAAAACCAGTGCCATATGCTACAGCATTTGATCGGCTGAGAGCAGATTTGGCATAGAAATTTAGCATTTGTTCTGTAGAGGTGTTATGGTCTAGTGGATAAGTCACCCGGCTGCAAATCACAAGGTACGGGGTTCAAGTCCCACCGTGGCACTAATGTCCTTTGGCAAGACGTTAATCTACATTTGTCACCCAGGTGTGAATGAGTACCTGATACTTGAGCGCTAGTTACTTTGACAGCTCGGCCATAACCAGGGTAATATGTGTAATGCGCCATGAGCATCAGAGCCTGGCGCGTACTGGCGCTAGATAAATATCCATATTATTTTTATAACAAGTTTTATGAAACAGGGCCCAGTTCACAAATGAAGTATTCAATATTCACGCATTCCTCTACTACAATCACAACAAATTTGGAGGCGTGTTCAATAAAGCAACAACTATTAATGTAAATGCATTCCGTCTTTCAAAATACAATAGCTATTCAAAAAATCAATACTTTGTGACTAGGAGATAAGGGTAACATCTCTTATGAATTTGCATTAAAAAAGGCCATTTACATTGCAGAGAAAAATCAAACTCAACGGTTTTTACTTGCAGTGTAAATCAATGCCCTTATAGAGTGTGATTTTGTTAGAAGTAACAGCTGGAAGAGCAACTTCACACTGATTGTGTATAGAAAAGTGTGGGGAAAATACCTCTGAATATTGCATCTGTTCATGTTTTTTACATACAACAGTGAGTGATACATATATATATACACATGTGATTTTTTTTCTTGTGACCTCTAATTACAACCAAGAGTACATATCCGCATCTCTTCACTTGGAACTTGTGCGTTTAATTTGATTGAAAATTTGGAACTTACGTGCACTTGCTTTCATTACAACAAAGCAGTACACTTACAAATAAAATTTCACATTTTTGAAATGTACACCATCAGAGATTCTGGACAAGAGTAACAAAAAACAATCAAATGACTCAAATATGTGAGCCAATTGAATGCACACACACTGATCCAATTCTGTACTCCCAGTAAGAAAAACTAATATCTGTACATTACATGTACGTTGTAGATAGAAATGCTGAAATATGATGCAAATGACAAACAGTGCCCATGGCAGAATTTACATACATATGTATGATAAGAAGAAAAACAATGAAAAACTACATGTAAATATATACATATATTGTAAAAATAGATATCCAACTAATCTAAAATAATATCTACATATGTACTTTGTATTTACATGTGGTAACATTGTGTTGAAGAATTAAAAAGCTGTAGGAGAGTATGATAATGTGTTTAATATACTCTAATTATGCTGGATCACAAAGTAAATTGAGTAAAATGTTTTTGCCCATTAAACTTACAATATTTATTACCTCAGAAAATGAAAAGTCTTTAAATTCATTTATCATGGTGGCATTATGATATGCCCTTCAAATGCAAATTATCTGATTTGATATAGGGTTCCAGATTTCTGAATATCCTATTTCAGAAAGTATTGGCATACGTGAGTAACCTTGGCTATTAATTGGATTTGAACATCTGTTAACCCAAACAATTGCAATGAAACTTCTAAGATTTAACATGTGTTAATGACCAAAAATTGTGCCTGACCAAATTTACGATGAACATCAAAGATCTGTTTTCTGCCAACTTTCACTGAAAAAACTTCTAAAAGTGTATCAGAAGGGGCATTTACACTTGCATCAAAACACGCCCAAAATGCCATATCAGAGCCTGACCCCGATGTTTCAGTGATATTTCCAAGGCAACTACGCTTTACCGGCAAAAATGCCAACCCCGAAACATTCCAAACCGAAGTGTGATTTTAAGTGTGAGTATAAACACTCGCGGCAGCTGAAACATCACAGGTTTGTCACGTGACTTTAGGAGCAGGGCTACACTTGTAGCTGTCGTCCTTGGACTGCAGCAGCCACAGCGTAAAAACAGCTGATCGAAGAGGCATTTTGCATCGGGAAGACCGCACATGCGCATTACCAACCAAAACATTAAAGCTTTCAGTCGGTGATGTTTCCGCACAAGTGTAAACGGGAGCGCAAAACATCACAATTTTTTTACATGAGGTATTTGACAGTAAAAATGCGCCTAGAGAATAAAGGCTTGGTCAGACCTTGGCCATAACGATAACAATAACTTTAATTACTCTATCTTAAATTGCTCATTTGTTTATTTTAAAACTCAATCGAATATAATTGTTAAATACGTGTAGGTCAGGCCTCAATGATTTATGAAAATGAACCTTGCTCAATGATTTTATTGTTTCATTGCGATCACAGGGTGAGCAATATTTTTTATTATTTGTAAGACAAGCCTCAACGATAAATATTTGTGTTCCACTATGAATAGCACCTGTTCATGTGAAGAAGAGGTACATATGTAGAGGCAGTGTCTGCCTGTCCACTATGGAGTATGGACTATAGCCTATGTAATTAGTTTACAACTACCGGTAGCTTAAAGGTATAAACCAGTCCTGGTCATGCGATTGCATTGTGAAAGAAACGTTGTAGAAAGCGATCAAAAAAGGTTGATCATCTAGCATATACATGTAAGTATTGGTGTGTACTGCAAGGTTCTGGAATCATCAAAATGATAAGAAATTTGGCCTAGTCTTGGTAAAGCTACAAGCACTGTACACAGAAAGATGTACATGGGACTCCCCTATATCTATCCATGCCGGATAGATATGATAATTTACCAAATATATCAATTACTAGGCGGTTTCCCAGCAAAATTTGTATCATCACGTATAAGTCAAAACATATTCTTTCACATGATTGGTAATAAGAGCTTCCATTTATTTTTTTGAGAGGGGGGCGTTTCCAAAACTGGTCTATACCTTTAAAGTTTTATGGATATGGGTACAAGTTGATTGGGCTATCAAAAGAAGAACCCCTTGGCATGGCAAACATGTGTTGGCATTTTATCAGTGTTTCTAGTTTCGGCTCAGCAAGTTTTCATATTTACCAGGGTGATCAACTCCACAATAAAAAAAAATGCAAACAAACAAATTGAAATTTTGGAGGAATGGGAACTTGTGCACACATGATTAGCACAATGCACAAAGTCCTTTGTGATTGGTTCCCTGGAAGGGGGAAAAGCTAGATGGGATTCTAATATGCTTTTGGTGCCATCTCAGCCATATTTAGATGCATTTTGAAACCAATTTCATGACTAATATTTCATAATTAATTTTAGTTGAGAATGAATTTGAACCTGTAAGTTAAAGATGTTTATATGCATGGGTATAGTCATTCATGAAGTAGGCAACTTGACGAACACTGAGCCAACAGGTATTACGCTCCCGTACGGACGTACGCATAAAGGGACAATAGTACGCAAGGGAGCGTTATACCTGTTGGCTCAGTGTGCTGCCCTCTGTATACCCACACATGAGCAACTTTTGATGAATTTTGTTCAAAACGGTTGCTTCAAAATTAAAATCTGTTGCTGAGTATAACACCACTCGTGAACCAGCCTCTATTAACACTGTTCATATACTATATATATATGCAGACTATATACAAATGAAAATTCATTGGAACTCAATGTAAAATTTGATCGAATTCGTAATACCCATTGACTTTGTTAATATTGATTTGAAGGTCAAATCACAGCTCTGTGGTTGCCTACACTCTGCAAACAACTCTACCTAGAATCAACACCAATCCCCATTTTCCATGAACAAATCAATTTGAATACAAACAAGTCTGAAAATGAAAGAATCACAGATTGATATACTGTCTACACATACACCTACAGTATAATCAAACAGTTTTGTCGCAAAATTTCAGGCGTTCTGAGAAAAACAACACTTGTTTTACCATGAGTTTATGCAAGAACTTTAAATACAGAAGTCATGACATGAATATACATGTACATTGCTGAGTTGTGCATAGCAATTGCACCACAAATAGGTAGTGGATACCGGAATATTGCTTTTTGATCTGAAATGCTAGTAGATTTTGCAAGAAAACAGTGCTTTTGCAATACAATAAATATTTTAAAGATCTAAGCTAGATTCAAATCAATAATTCATTAATAATCTCACTTACAAATCCTTGATCACCTAACAGAGTCCTTTTTATCTTCTATTCCAACATTCTTCGTTTCATTTTTTAACACATCTACAATTTCTTTTTCTATTTCTACAGGCTTTTCTTCCGTTTCCTTTGGTTTTTCAAGGTCCGTCCTTCCCTTATCGATGTTAGATTCCTTTTCTTGTTTTGGTTGGCTCTCTTGTTTCTCCTGAGCCTCTTCCCGCTGTTTCTCTTGGCTTGACTGTTCTTTCCCTTGCTCCACTTATTTCCTCTCCTGATCATCCAGAGGCTGTTCTTGCGATTGCGGCAATTGCTGCCTGGAACGCGCCTCTTGAAGAATCTCTTTAGGTACATCGGCTGGACATGGGTACGTTCCGACACCGAAGGGACGCAGATGATAAACAAGGTATTCCAGGTTGTACAGAGCGGCAGGTGGAATGTAGTGAAAGGTTATAGAGTAATCTGAACAGCATCCTTCAAAACCCTGCAGACAGGATGAAGAATTTATATTAAAAAATTAAAAATGATGTGTAGATGGACGGGGCAATACTGCAATATCATGATATCAGAGTGACAGGGTTTTAAGCATTTCATACCCCATTGGATGCGAAAAGCTAATGTGGTTAATAGATTAGCCAGTGTGCGCTTGTAAAAATGACTCCTGGCTCGTTCGTTCGTGTCTCCTTAGATCAAGATAGTTATGTAAAGTTCCTTAATTAGAAGTAAACTAAATTAAATTAAGTTCTTCCATCGCTCGATTGCTGCAATGGCCGTTTCATTAACAAGGGACAGGTCTTCATCTGTGCAACCCTTTCCGCCGCACTGCAAGAGGTGGTCCATCGTCTGAGTCTCTCCGCAGTCGCAGAGAGTATCTCCTTCATGGGCATAGCCCCATCTTGCCATATTGACCTTACACCGCCCCATTCTCGTCCGCATTCGATTTATGCATTGCCACTCCGGCCACTTCAGGTTAAGACCTTTGATGAGTACGGGCTTGGCTGATGGTGGAGGATTCTGTTCAGGTGGTGGGACAGAATCGAGGAAGCTGTGTCGGGATATAAGTCGTTTGTGGGGTTGTAAGTATCCGTGTAGCATGTGTCTGTCATCTGTCGCCTGCTTCATCCGTTCCTTTAGGCAGGTGTTAGTGCGCCTTTGGTTAGGAGATCCAATGCCAGCGAGGTGATATATCTCCTCAACTTTTGTTGGTTTCAGGCAGCCTGTTATCTTTCGATAAGTGTTATTGAGTGTGGTGTCAAGCTTCTTCACATGGGCTGATCTGCTCCAAACTGGGCAAGCATATTCTGCGGATGACATGCATAGAGCAACAGCTGCACTTTGTACAGTTTTGGGGTCAGCGCCATAGTGTGAAGATGCTAGCTTCCCGATGATGGCATTTCGAGATTCTACTTTGCCTATTGTCTTCTCGATATGTTTCTTGAATGATAAAGTACGATCGAGTTTTACACCTAAATAAACTGGATGCTCGCAGTGGTTAAGTTGCACATTGTTCCACTTTAGCTTCAGTTCTCTCTTTGCCTCCCTGTTCTTCAAGTGGAAAACACACACCTGAGTCTTGGATGGGTTTGCCCGTAGGTAGTTTGCTCTGTAGTACTCCGAAAGGCTTGCGAGCGCTGTGTTGAGATGGAGTTCAACAGCTTCGAAGGTACTATGCTGGGCTGTGATGCAGGTGTCATCTGCATAGATGAAGTTTCGAGTGTTCTCTGTTGAAGGGATGTCAGCAGTGTAGATGTTGTAGAGTGTTGGCGCCAGGACGCCACCCTGGGGGAGACCGTTTTTCTGTTTCCGCCATCTGCTCTTCTGCCCATCAAGTTCGACAAAGAAGCGTCTGTTCTGCATCATCTTCTGAATGAATCTGGTGAGTTTGAGGTCATTTGTGATGTCATGAAGTTTTGTCTGTAGCCTTTGGTGATTGACAGTGTCATAAGCCGCAGATAAATCCACAAATACTGCACCTGTGATGAGGTTGTTCTGAAAACCGTCTTCGATGTGTTGGGTCAGGTTGAGAAGTTGTCCCGTGGTGGATTTTCCTGGTCGGAAACCTGCCTGCTCACAGTTCAGTTGGCTGTCAACGTGAGGCCCAATTCTGTTGAGAATAAGGCGTTCAAGCAGCTTGTATGTTTGGCACAGGAGCGAGATCGGTCGAAAGTTCTTGGCTTCGTTTGAGTCCTTTCCTGGCTTGAGGATAGCGACGACTTTGGTTCGGAGCCACTGTTTTGGGACACAGGTGTTCTCGATGCAGTTGTTAAACATGTCTAGCAGCCATTTCTGTGCTACAGAGCCCATGTGTTTGATCTGCTCCGATCTGATGTCATCGATGCCTGCCGCCTTGTTGACGTGTAGCGTGGAGATACCTTTCTGTAGTTCTTCTTCAGAAATAGGTCTTGTGAAAAGAGACATGTTCTGGTCAACTCCAGGTAGTTTGTGCCTGTGTGAATTAGTCGTCTTGGGGGCCTTTCCATTTTTCAACAGCTGATTTGCTACTTCGTCAGCCGTAACATTATAATGCTGTTGAGCTCTGGTGCTGTCAATTCCGAGCTTGCGTATGGTGGCCCACGCTTTCCTGCTGCTGTGTCTTAGGTCTGTTGTTTCAATCATGTGCTGCCATATCTGCCTATGTCGTTGAGATATCCTTGATATAAGCTCTTCTCCAAGGTTGATGGTATCCTCTGAGAAGGCATCTGTGTCGTAGGCTGTGGTGTAGTTTGCCAGAAGCTGACTTGATTCCTCATCGATGCCTGGAATGTATGTCGTGCGGCAGCCTCTTGGAATATGTCTACGTGACACCTTCTTGACTATATCTATGAAGGATTCATAGTTCTTTGGATCTGCAGGGAGATGTGTTAGGGTATGATCAAGGTGTTCGGTGAAAGCAGGCCAGTCTGCCTTAGCAAAGTTGAACCTGCGCTTGAACGGGGTCTTGTTTGGTGTGATAACTGCAGTCAGTTGAATGCCGATGGGTCGGTGTTGGGATCTTGGAATCGGCTCAGCTACAAACTTCTCTTATTTCCACGGAGTCAAATTTCACTCTGAATGGCGTCAGCTGGGAGTCAACTCTATTTCTAGTTAAAGTGACACGGAAAAGGAGTCATCTTGACTCTGAATTGAGTCAATTCTCAGCTGATGCCACACAATCCGAGTCAAATTGATTCGGAATCCGTGTCACTTTAACTAGGAATAGAGTTGACTCCCAGCTGACGCCATTTAGAGTGAAATTTGACTCCGTGGAAATATGAGTGTACGACTGGTGGGAGCAAGCAGCCTGCTGCAGAAAACTAGATCCGGGTTGTAACGTCTCTTCCAGCGGGCACTGGCGAAAGACTTTGGGAGCTTTGGATCGTGGATTAGTTTTAGGTCGTTGTTTTGGGCCCATGTTTCAACTAGTGCTCCATCATCTCCAGTGGTATCATACCCCCATTGCGTGCTGTGGCTGTTGTAATCGCCAATTACAATATGCCTATTGGTAGTGGTGGAAGGATACGAAAAACTTATGTTTGGTGGCTTGTAGATGGAGGAGATCGTTAGTCCTTTGATTGTCACATTCAGCACTTCGATGTCGTTATTGTGGGTATAGGATGTAGATTCCGGTCTGATCTTCTCGTTCGTGAAGATAGCACTTCCATATTGGCGATGTGGCCGCTCGATGGCAAGCTTCATACCCTTGATCTTGGGCCGTGGATTGTCGCTGCCGCGGTGAGTCTCTTGAAGACATAGCACATCGCAGTTCATTTGTTTGCACATATGTGCAAGGACTTCCTCCTTGGCATCTGATATACCTTCGGCGTTCCATGATAGCACCGTCAGGGCCGGTCGTGAGAGGGGTCCCTCAGCGGAATTGCTCTGGGATGCTGCTCTATTGGGCATTTTCATTATGTTATGTTGGTCTTGATCTTAATCGTAATCTTAATATTACTCTAAGTCTAAGTGTAAATTATTATTATTCTCAATCTTAATCTTAATCTTAATCTTGATCTTCGAAGTAGTTGCTACAACCGGCCGTGTCAGACACGTTGCCCCGGGGTGCGAGATAGGACTCTTGTTGCGTGCCCCCACTTAACACAATTATAGAATAACGAATAACATTTCACTTAATTACAAGAATGAAGCAATTAAAATTACTCTCATGCTACGGGGAAGAAAGAAAGAAAAAAATGTATATCAAAAATTATGTATATAATACTATATATTATGAACCTACATGGTAATGCAGCAGAATTAATGATAGTCTATCATATATATTTTGAGGAGGTATCAGCAAGGTAGACTAAAATATAAAAAAGATAAAGACGTATGACATAAAAAGAATATAATCGAAATGTCCGACTAAGTTCCGTGGCACACACTCGGCATTATTGGACAAACTATTATTGGATAAACCTAACAATTATAAAGCTTGGTCTTGTTGCTCTGTTCGCCAGCAGTTTAAGGATATGAAACCCCGCGGCACACTACTCACAAAAGCTCTAACAAGCCAAGCTTATACAGAGCCTACAAGTAAAATAATGCGGCGTATGTACCACTCACCCAACCGGTTCAAGAGCAAATTATGATTAACGTAAAACAGGAAAAATAAAAAACAATAAATACCGAATTGTTAACTAAATAATATTAATATTATCAGCACTCAAACACACCCAACGCACATATCAGTACAAAGCGTAACAAAATGCATACATCTATAACATGCATACATGGATATATATATCTCCACAAATCCATTAATATGTAATTATTATATTATTTATATTATTTCATATTAATAGTAACATAAATGTGCATATCTTAGCATATATATTCAAGTAAAGGATATTCAGGTGACGTCACGTAGACAACTCTGATGACGTCACAATTGAAAATTGAGCCACAGCTGACTTTGTTGCGCTGCGCGTTGATAAGACTTGTTGGATGCGTTCCCAGCGTATACGCCTGTTACTATGACTTTGAAGTTTGATGACAAAAACAACGCTATGATGATTTGAAATAATAATCCTTTTCCAAAAAACAAATGTAAGATTTAAAAAACGATGATAAAACTATAAAATGATGATCCAAAATAAAAATCAAAGATCCCAAAAGACTCAATACACTGAGCTTTTGAAAAAGATATATTTTTTATTATTAATTGCTTCCCGGAAAGCAAGTGGATGGACCGCTTTACCTGAGCACCACCAGCACACGTCCGAACTCAACCAATTTACTCCTGGCTAAAACGCTCCCTATGGAGTGGAGAATGTGCATGCACTGTTGTGTGCGGGTAAGCCTGAATCAGATGACCGGGGTAATAATATACATGTATCTGTAAAGCACTTTGAGAGGGTCTTCGGTCCTGAAAAGCGCTATATAAGAACAAACTATTATTACCGATTTCTCTGATTTTCCCATTATTTTCCCTGTTGGAGTTTCAATATTTCAGAATCATTTTACCAATTTGTAACATCTGCATCCAGTTGTTATGTGTCTTATTAACTAAAGACAGAATAAAAGAGACTGTCTACTACTTTCTTTTGGGTCCATTTGATTTCTGACTTTTTCCTGATTTATGTGAGTTTTCTCAGTCTCTGACACAGTCCCGACTATTTATAGCTGACTGTAAAAAGGGAACTCATTTTCCAGATTTTCCTTGATTTCCAGGATTGCTGGGATTGCCTGGGAATCACTCGAGATTACTTCATATAAAAGGTGGCAAAGCAACATCGGCCAACTACATCGCTATTAACCTCTGCATGTATAGAATAATGAGGTACTCACAGATTTATGAATAGTGTTAATTAGCCGTTAATGGGAGTGTTATTACCAACATCAGTGAGATGAACCCTTTTGAGGCTTGTTCAGAACTTCAGATATGGCACATTAAACCACCACCAAAAAAAAGCTGCCACTTCTTTTAACGTGTAAATGAATAGAGGCTGCACACAACAAAGAACTTGCGTGTATGCAGCACTTGATATCTGTGTTATGAAATACAGAAATGTGAAACGTATTACACTTGATGTCATTATACTAAAAAACGCGTTAGCACTGTTCATGCAATTGTGAGTACCGGTACCTCTTTATTCTATATATGCAGAGGTTAGGGATGTTCCTTTTGCTGCGTCATATCTATAAGACTATAAACAAGCTATTAGGTTTTAACTACCTCGTGAAAATCACTTACCTCATTACGTGGATAATAGATATAATCCCAGTACCAAAAAGAATCCGGGAGGCCTTTAGGATCAAGATGGGCTTCAGGTTGGAACGGATGAAAACGATTTCTTTCCAATGAATCTCTCGAATCCCCTGCAACAACACCAGCATTTTCAAAGCACTTGCCAATCTCTACATCTTCCGCACCACCCTTCTTGTCCATGCCCCAACATGTGGAAGGATCCTTAAAGGCAATCTCCACCAGGTTCTTAACACCGATTCTGCTGGTCACGTAACCGCCCCCTCCGCTCATGTAACCCTGCATGACGAAGCGCTTGAACTTGTGGCCAAAGTAAATCGACGTATCGGGGGTGTACGATGACAGGAAGTAGCGTAGGTTTTCCACGATGACAAACGTGTCATCATCTGCTTTCAGGAACCAGTCATAGTCGTCCAGGAAGTTGTCGTAGATGTGCTGGAAGGCTCCTCGGGTCTTCTGCCAGAGGAAGTCGCGCCCTTCTTTAGTTGCCACCTTCACGATGGGGACCTTGTCCGATGGTTCAGAAGAGATGAATATGACCTTGTTGCAACGCTTCCCCCACGTGGCAAAGATATGAACGGCCTTTGAATCAATGTTTTGAGGTCCAGTCATTATCCAGCACAAAACACGTACCTTGTCGTAAAGAACTTGTGCAAGGGCGTCCTGACCTGCAGTTTGAAAGAACAAGTGATGTAACAATTTATGTCTTTCCTAATGTTATTTTTTTAATCTTTCTTCCATCTTATATTCCTGTATTTCCTGTGATCTCTTATATAGAGCTACTACCTCTTCTTTCATATTTTCTTCTGATTTTCTATGTACATGTATTTCCTCTCTATTTCAAATATCTTCTAGATCTTAATTCATAATGTACACGTATTTGTTTTCATATTTCTGTCATATTAGCGTTCTATCTTTCTATGTTATTCTGTGAACTTTTGTACACCACTGTACAAAACTCAACTAATTTCCTATGTATTTCCTCTCTATTTCAAATATCTTCTAGATCTTAATTCATAATTTACACGTATTTGTTTTCATCCTTCTGCCATACAGTATATCTAATAGCGTTCTATCTTTCCATGTTATTCTGTGTTTCTATCATTCTATCATTTCCCTTTCTATTTTTTTCTCCATAATAATCCTTTTTTTTTTTATATCCTTTTATCATTTCCTCATGATAACTTTCCACGTCTTCCTGTTTGTTTCTATTCATACATTTGCCTATCTCTTTGTTTTTTTTGTTATTTTTTCTAAAAACGAAGACATTATAATACACTTTCTCACAGGTTTTTACGGCAAACGGCTGCACAATTACAATACAATTGCATACTGTACCATAAGTTATTGACTGTAATCTCAGATCCCTAGAAGTCCACCTTATGACGACGATGACCATTATTACGGTCACTAACTTCACGCACCCCTTCATCGGTATACCATACGGCATGCAATTGTATTGTAATTGTGCAGCGGTTAGCCATGAAACCTGTAAGAAAGTGTATATTGTTTATAATGACTTGGTTTTTAGGAAAATACTCCAAAAGATATAAGAAACTTGACACGAAACAGGTAAGAAACATAACGACTTTTAAATCGTGACCATTATTTGAATAAATGATGAACATTTATTTGATTTTTGGTATGCTTTACTTTTAGTAGGCTATCTCCATGCCGGAGTTACGGGTCAAAAGTGGATACGAAAGTACAGTCACTATAGTGCCAACAGCTGTTAATATTTATAGGTAAACACCTTAATGGTGTCAAATTTCCCATGAGAGCCCACTACTAGTACTACCGGTATGTGTTTTAACTGGTGTAGATCTGGGCCCTGTCTTGTAAACATTGCGATTAATCATTAATCTAAACTTGTTGTGATTGATATCCATCACAACTATACATGTATCATTGTACATGTATGTACAGTACAAGAGATGGGAGACTGTATTAACTTGTATTGAGATTGATTGGAGGACATGCCATTGAGTCGGATCAATCGTAACTCTTTATATCCCAAGATTGAAACCAATTGAACACCAATTGAAATTTCAATTGGTTTCAATTGGTTCCAATTGGTTCCAATTGGTCTCAATAGGTTTTAACAGGTTTCAATGGGACTTTAATAGGACTTCAGATGGTTTCAATTGGTCCAGATTGGCCCCATTGGACAAATTGCCCCCATTGACCCCATTGGCCTAGGCCCCATTAGACTTTAATGGGTCCCCAATTGGTTTCAATTGGTCCAGATTGGCCCCATTGGACAAATTGGACCCATTGGCCCCATTGGCCTAGGCCCCATTAGACTTTAATGGGTCCCCAATTGGTTTCAATTGGACCAATTGGCCTTAATTTGGACTTCAATTGGTCCAATTGAAACCAATTGAAATTCCATTAAAGTCTAATAGGGCCAATTGAAATCAATAGAAACCAATAGGACCAATGCTAAATAGAAACCAATTGGACCAATAGAAACCATTAGGACCAATAAGACCAACAAAAAACAATAGGACCAATAGGACCAATAGAAATCAACAGAAACCAATAGAAACCAACAAATCTAGGCATCTCATGAATATTCATTATCTTTACACGTGTCACAGAAAAATAAATTTATCATGATTTGTTCAGCAAATTATGACAATGCACATCAATTTTGTGATTTCTATTTTCTTTCGGCAATTATTAACCAATAGATTATTTTGTCTGATCATGTTACAATTACATTCACGTTTTAGCAATAGATATATTGATTATATGATTACTAACCAAGAAACAACATGCATATTTAGTATATATATGTGTACGAGCCTGTGTCACTGTAAACGAAACTCTTGAATTCACTTCAAATGATCTATGTGATGAAGTTAATGCAAATGAGATTGGAATATACATGTACATGTACCTAATTAGTGGACAGTTGCCAATATCGATTATGAAGTATCAGTAATTTATCACTGGTTCTTCTAACTGGATCGATTTACCAATTGAATCCCCATTGAATGCCCCTATTGAATCCCAATTCAATACCCTATTGAATCCCAATTCAATACCAATTGGCAATTTGGAGTACATGGAAAGTGAAACAATGGGTACCCATTGAAACCAATTGGCAATTGGTCCCCATTAGAACCAATTGGCAATTGGTCCCCATTAAAATCAATTGCCAGTTGGTTTCAATGGGGACCAATTGCCAATTGGTTTCAATGGGTACCCATTGTTTCACTTTCCATTTACTCCAAATTGACAATTGGGATTCAATGGGGACATTCAATGGGGATTTAATTGGATTTTCGTCTTGGGTAAGACGGGGCATGAAGTTCATATTTAGAAGAAAAACAAAATCAGTTGGTGAATGGTGATAGTGATAGTCAAATTTGACTTATTGCCATATGAATTATGATAATGAATAGACCACTGAATAGGGAGGCGAGTTGACTCATTCGGTAAAGCGTCTGCCTGTTAAACCACAGATCTCGGATTCGAATCCCACCGTGACCCACCCAGACGGACGACTGAAGCCTGCCTTGTGTGTTAACGTGCCACTCCCTTTTTTTCATAGACGCAGGCTACATAACCCTACAGGTAGTGGAAAACACTCTATCCTTCGGATAGGACGTTAAATGGAGGCCCTGTGTACACGAGAGTCACCATCCTTGCCATTAAGAACCCACTGTACTATTCGTATAAGAGTAGGGCGAACCCTGGTGGTCCACCTGCACATCCCAATCAGGCCGAGTTGATGTACATGTACAGGTACATTGTATACGGCATCTGTAAGAATCTTCAGTATTGAAGCCTGAAGGAGGCACATTGTCTTGAAAAAGAAGACCGACCCACAACAAAAAACTGACACTGCACTGAGCACTCGACCGAAACGAAAGCTTCAGTTTCTATCTGATATCAAGGGTTGTGACTTGTGACAAAGTGAGACCGTTTTAACTTTTAGTTTTAGATTTGGACGGTCATTTAATATTAATGTCTGACTGAGCATTCTCTTCATATTCATAACAATTCATAACCTAGACCATGCAGTTTTGGAAACGCCCCCCCCCCCCTTTCAAAATGAAATGGAAGCTCTAATATCACCAATCATGTGAAAGAATATGTTTTGACTAGATCTAATACGTGATACAAATTTTGCTGGGAAACCGCCTAGATCTAGACCCTACTAGACCTAGATCTAATTGATATAGGGTCTAGATCTAGGCATATTATTTGGTAAATTATTCTATCTGGACCGAATAGATATCGCGCACGTGTCGCGTAGTTTGGTGTACAGTGCTTGTAACTTTCATTTTGATGATCATTTATCATTTTGATGATTCCAGAACCTCAGAACCTCGCAGTAGAATCTAGATCTACACACTAATACTTTATTATGCTAGATGATTAATTTTTTCTGATCGATTCCACAACGTTTCTTTCACAGTCCAATCGCAGGTCTAGACTATGAAGTCTGGTCTTTTCCTTTAAAGCTAAATAAACAAAAGAAGTCATTCAATCTTTAAGAAATCACAGATTCTAAGGGCTCAGTTACTCTAGAGCACATCTTCCGTCATATCACTCTCGTGTTAGTCTTAGTCTTACCCACAAAATTATGATGGTGAGAATCTTGAAAATGTTTCAGTTCGCTTTCTAACACTCGGTTCGTGTCGTCCACAATAACATGTCCATCGGGCTGCCGCAGCGCTTCCCCGTTGTTTGAGACTGAATCAAATTTTTGCACATGCGAAGATCTAAGCTCGTTCAGTCTTGAAAATTTCACTGTGGCGTAAGTTATACAACATCCGAAGAATAATCCAAAGCAGAAATTCCATATGAATCCCCTCGTATTCCCTTCGACGGCCGCCATGTCCGGTGTCCTTGAGCCGAACCAACTTCACTTCAAATGATATGCTTCTATACACGCTCCAAGCAAGTCAAACAGAATGATTTACACGTATCCGGCTGGCAGCGCGCGCCTAGGGTTTGGGGAGCGCCCGCCCCCCCCCCCCCCCCCCACTCCGAGAACGAACGTACCGCATGCGTGTTACCAAAATGTCCTTTCGTAACAAAAGAAAAAGGTCGACCCGTATTGACTTTACACACCGGACTTTTGCTGAAAAGGGGGGGGGGTGCTGAAAAAGGCTCGTATAACAAAAGAAAAAGGTCGACCCGTATTGACTTTACACACCGAACTTTTGCTGAAAAGGGGGGGTCGCGTGAAACACGCATATGCGTACCCTAAATAACACTGAGTGGGGAGGGGGGCGGGGGGAGCGGAGCACGCCCACTCGACCGTACCGTACCGGAGCCCGAGCTTACCATAGAATTCTAGTCCGCCGATTCGATGTCGCGAAATCAGCTGAGAAATAATTCTGTACCCCGGCCCCGCGTCCGTTCTTTTCGACCGTAGTTTGGGGATCGCGCGATGAGTAGACACCGCACGAGTTCATTGAAGAATACAAAATATACAAAAACGGAGGGGTAAAAACTTATCTTTGCCCCTATGCAAGGCCCCTTCACAAGAAAAAAAATGCATGTATTTATTTGGCAATACAGGGTGGTATTCTGATAGCGCGTACTAAGTTAGTATCTGAGACTAAAGTCCAGATTAGCGGCGTATTAACTTGCAAACTTAAGCTAGGCTTAACTTTCGGTATTCCGATACCAGTTTTCACCTTGACCCCGAACTAAAGTGCGAACTAAATCCCCCATTTTTTAGTTTCCCGCAGGGGGTAGTTTAAGTCTGGACTAAATGCACACTAAACATGGCGTACCAGCTTGATTTTCTGCGACAAAGAGATCGCTATGAAGAGTTGATGAGAAGACTAGCTCCCGAACGTCCCGTAATAGTGGAGAGAGGGGACCCGTTTCACATCTAGATCTATAACGATTTTGAATTTGTCAAGCGTTATCGCCTATCAATGATATTGCAGACAACCTCAGAAGGCTTCGATACCCGTTCACATAATATTCAGCTACTTACTGTATTGAGGTTTTATGCTGTGGGTAAGTTCGATCAGTCTTTACGTTTTGTACAGTTTGATAGACTATAGCAGACTGACGTCTTAAAGACGTCATAAATTGGTCGTAAAGTGGTAAACACGTCGTACGTTGTATGGACGACGTAATTACGACGTCATTATGACGTCTTCAAAAGACTATTTTTACAAGATAAATTTTGTCGCATTGACGACGTCATAACGACGTCATAATGACGTCTTTAAAGGACTAATTTTTTCAAGATATTTTTTGTCTTCTCGACGACGTCATTATGACGTCTTTAAAAGACTATTTTTTCCAAGATCATTTTTGTCGTATTAACGACGTCATAAAGACGTCATTTTGACGTCTTTGTATGGACGACGTAATTACGACGTCAGTATGACGTCTTCAAAAGACTATTTTTACAAGATAAGTTTTGTCGCATTGACGACGTCATAACGACGTCATAATGACGTCTTTAAAGGACCAATTTTTTCAAGATATTTTTTGTCTTCTCGACGACGTCATTATGACGTCTTTAAAAGACTATTTTTTCCAAGATCATATTTGTCGTATTAACGATGTCATTAAGACGTCATTTTGACGTCTTTAAAATACTATTTTTCCAAGCTAATTTTTGTCGTATTGACGACGTCATTATGACGTCTTTAAAAGACTAATTTTTCCAATGTAATGTTGTCGTATTGACGACGTGATAATGACGTCATTATGACGTCTTTAAAATACTATTTTTTCCAAGATAATTGTTGTCGTATCGACGACGTCATTACGACGTCTTTAAAAGACTAACTTTCCAATATATTTTTTGTCGTATTGACGACGTCATTACGACGTCATTACGACGTCATTGTGACCTCTTTTAAAGACTTTTTTTCCAAGATATTTTTTGTCGTAAGAACGACGTTATAACGACGTCATTATGACGTCTCTAATAACCATGGGCGTAAATCCTTACGTAATACCTATTGTTCAGGGGGGATGAAGATCATCCCACCCTGAACAATAGGTATTACGTAAGGATTTACGCCCATATGCTAATAACCTAATGTTTTTCCAAGATAATAATAGGGTAAAGACTACAACATCTAATATGAGCATAAGTCAAAGTAACTAGGGCAATTGTCAGAATTGAAAATAGGGAACAATTAACTCCCCCCCCCCCCTCAAATGTCATTAGTCATTATATTAATAGTGGACCAATTTACAGATTGTGCACCATCTTAACACGCACCAAGGTCTGCAATATCGATCAAGACTATACATGTTCGCATCTAGCTATTTCAAACGGGATTGTGTACGTACGTGTGTGTACAGGTACATACAGTACTCAAGGCAAGGCGTAGGGGACTAAGCACTATGCGATGTGTATGTAATGTATTTTAATTCAGAGTGAAAAAGCCGTTGCATGAAGTATCATCCTCCTGAATACTCTCGTTTTCTCCTGCAAATTTACAGTATGGGTAAGTCCTAGAATTACCTAATTTATTTACAAAAAGTACATAAATCTATACTTCTTACTTTTTTCGTTCTGAAAAGTTGATATGTAGACTCTATGTTACTGTAATGTATGTCAGTGATAGTGAGCTCGGACTTTCAACACTTGCTGACAAGATTTGAAATGTATGATCCCATATATGTATTTTTATGTAGGGTCTTGATTGATGGGATGCATGGCATGGGGTAGACAGCAATAACCATCTGATTTGGGTCATTTCTTTAATAAAACTGACATTTGTTGTCATTCCCCAATACAGATGGCAACCCAGAGATCTCGTACCGTGGGGGTTGGCTATATATATATATGTACATATTTTCGTCCACGACATTTTCTCCCCGATTTTCTTTATTTAGATCTAATTTCCTGATTTCTAAATCAGATGTAAATTAGGTCGGTATGTCATTTGTCCTAATTACAGTTATCAAAATTTGATAACTCAATATTAAATGGATAATTTACGGACTTACTTATATATATGAATTATCCAATTTGTATCTCAGAACCGCGAAGCAGTACGTTCATGCATTCGAAATATTACCCGGCGGCCGATATATTTCCGGGTCCACCTACCAAAACATAGCCAATGGCCAATCAGAGCACTCGTTTCGTGGGAGTTCGTTGGTCAAGCCGGGCCGACTCGTAAGTAGCTACGGTAGCTATTGGACGTTCGAAAAGAAAAAATGAATATTCATCAACTAAAACCAAGACGGATAATGTTGACGACGAGACTTTCTCGGATTAATCATTAATTTAGGATCTAAATGAGCAAGCTATCGTAAGCCAAATAAGCTATATATATGTTATTTTTAATTTGTGTTATAATTGCAGCAGTTATGAGGATGTAAAGGGTGAAAATCTCGTTACATATCTCATTCATCGCGGTCCGGTCGAACCGAACCATTTGTTCCGTACAGTGCCTCACAGAAAGAGGTCCCCAGACTTCAGTCTCTATAATCGGAGGTCTAGTGGAGCCAGACGTAGTCTCAGTGGAACAACCGACGATTAGAGAGACTGAAGTTTTCGGTCTAGGCATGGGGCATCATTTAAAGCAAAAAAGTTTACTCATTTGCCTACTCGTGGGCTGCATGGCTTTAAAGGGATATCTATAACTCGAATATACAACTGCTCTAAACTAAAAGCAGAAAAATAAGAGAAGCAAACTGATGAAAGTTTTGGCACTAGACTCTAGACCTCGGGCTCTAGGACTATAAGTCACACCAAAGACGGATAATACATGCAGTCATGCGTGACACAGTGTGAGAGTGTCTACTTTATTCCAAGCAATACTGTAGATCTACTATACTAGTTCAGAATCATATCCAGACTTTTTGACCAGCGACCCATAACTCTGGCGTGGAGAGAGTCCTAAAAATCTAAAACATAGGTCTAGATCTAAGCCTACCCCAAATCAAGCAAATATTCATGAAATGTTCAAATGATGCTGGTCATGATTTAAAAGTCGTTATGTTTCTAACCTGTTTCTGGTCAATTTTCTTATTTTGGGGAGAGTATTTTTCGGAAAAACGTTGATAGTAGTATACACTTTCTCACAGGTTGCACGGCAAACCGCTGCACAATACAAGTACATACAGATGGTGGGTTGCGGGGGCACGTAAGTCTGTGTGAAGTGATCTACCTCCTCATTGTACGGTAGATAACTTCACACAGGCGTGCGCCCGCCCGCAACCACCATCGGTATGCACTTGTAATGTGCAGCGGTTTGCAGTGAAACCTGTGAGAAAGTGTACTACCGGCCCGGGCCCAGATGTCTGGAAATTGAGCATTGCGTGTCGATACGTAGAGGAATAAAGCAGTGACTTGTGTCACAAACATGTAACCTTAAACAAGTCGTTTCTATAGTCTTTAGACAGCAAATTTATCTTATAGGCTACCATATACAGAAATCTTTATCTGGAAATAATTGGTTAGACCTGTAAATGGTAAACAAAATTCTTTCCCCACAGGCTGTTCAAAGAAGTTTGTAGTATATGTGTTGCAAATGCATACATTATCAACCATTTGTTTTGTTTTAACTTTATTCATTTTTTCATTTATTTGTAGGCATCCTTTTTTAACATCTTTCGTCAAAGAAGTGGATTCAAAGCACATTGTGACATCAGTATATTGATGTGAAACCATGCAGAAAATGCTACTTTCTATCAACCTTGTGGATGTTCCCTACTTCCCTAAGGATCAGCAGCCTCTTGAAACAGTTGAAGCCATTATCGGTATGTGTACATGTACTTCATTTATTTCTGTACATTTATTTGTCATATTGTGCATGATCACTGAGACACTGACTAATTAGACACTACATAATTAGACACTACATAATGGTTCATTTCATTTTAAAGGCTTATTTCAGTTATTTGTCCTAAGTTTCAAATATATTTATAATTAATTTTAGA